CAGCTCCCCACTTCGGCGTAGCGCGTAGGAGCCTGCGTCGGAGCGCTAAGATCAGCCTGACTTGAACTTGAAACGTACCGCCAGCCCGAACCCCCCTACATTGATATATATTAGCGGCTCAGCATGGTTCAACAGGTGTATTTCAGTCACTGGCTTGGTCGACGTCAGGCTGAGGTCGAGCGATCGACCCAAACCCTCATACACCAGCACTCACACCTAAGGGTGTGAGTGTGTGCGCCCCGGCCCCCACGCCCCGCCTCGGCCGCTCCTCGGCCGTCGCAGCCCTGCCGTGGCGGCCGTAGGGAGCAGCATCGTCTTTGTAGCCACGGTAGCCTTAAGCGGCGTCTCCGTGTGCGGCCCGCCGCCGCGCGCAGCAGCGCCCTCCGCAAGCGCGCGACGCACATCCACTTGAGGACCCGAGCGAAACGGGTGGTCGAGAGGTGCCAGCGAGTACCTCAAGTGGACAGCATCGCGACGCTGCGAGCGCGCACACTGCGGCGGCCGCAGGAAGCAGCATCGTCGTCGTAGCCTTAGCAAATTACATACAAACAATGGTTAAGTTTTGGTTAAAATTACTATTTGTGGGCTAAGAAACGAGGCTCAGTTTCTCAACACGACGGTTTCTTATTGTCCGCTATCCCCTGTCCACAACTCCTCAAACGGTTACGAAGGAAAAGGTTAGAAACAGAGCGATATTGCAAAGCGCCAATTTTAATTTTAGCTGTATTTAATCGGTTTTAAAAATGGCCGGTGAGCGCGCAGCAGCGGCACGCTGGTCGCTGGTCCGGGTGGCTCCTGCACATGAACATGCACGCATGCAGAGGCTGCTTGCACTCTGATGACTTCTTGTACTCTTGCAGTACGCACTGATGGTGCTGCACGTGGGCCGCAGGGAGAGGACACAGGAGCCTGCCCGTGCCGCTGTTTCAACGCGTCCTGTCGGTGGCAGCAGCGCGCTCCCGCCTGGCGGCGGCGGCGGCAGCGCGCTCGAGCCCGGCGGCTGCAGCGGCAGCGTACTCGAGCCTGGCGGCGGCAGCGGTAGCGCCTTCGCGCCCGGCAGCGGCAGCGCGCTCGCGCCTGGCGGCGGCAGCGGCAGCGCGGCAGCGGCAGCGCGCTGACGCTGCCGCCGCCGGTCTCGAGCTCGTTGTCGCTGCCGCCTCTTGGCTTATGCCGCGCGCACCATCGGTTCGTCCTTCGGCTCATCAAAGTCGGCAATCTCATCGGACGCGTTGGCCGCCAGCAGCCCGAAGGTTCTTCACCCACCCTGAAGTCGCTCACCGTGGCCTGGTTGCGCGCCATCGCTTCCTTACGCACCGTGCACAAGCCATTCTGCCTAGCCATGATGTTCGCCTGCATTGATCGTCGACTTGCAGTACTCGCACTTTGCCTCTGGTGCCTTGCCGTTGACGCCCTTAGCGCGTGGCATCGTGCCCGCTATGAGCTGGGCAAAGCTAAAAACGGGCTGTTTAACGCTAAGAACGCTTTAAAAAAGGCCCAATTTTTTCTTCGCAACTGAAGGGGGTCCTGCCGGCCGGGCGCCTTCGGCAGGTTGTAACAAATATTATACGCGTGGAGTATAGTGCCTTCCGCAAGTTTGCATTATCGTGTACCCTTTAGCGCGGAGTCGGCCGTGTGTGTTCGAATAACAAAGAGTAATGGGAATGGCGAAGGGCGGGGGGCTGTAGAGTGTAGTCTCGGCTACGACTCCTGCCCAAAGCCTTCTCTGATGCGTGTTTGACATGAAGCTCTCAGACCCAGACCTCTTGAAAAACTGCTGAGCCGCTATACATATATAACAAAGTGTAACGGCAGGCCTTTTGACTGAGTGTTAGGTGGGGACCCGGCAGGCCGACTGTGTGTTAGCTGATGGGAGTGTTACCTAGCAACTAACACACACCCAGTGTTAGGAGACCAGGATGTCAGCCGTTTGAGTGTTA